ACCCTGAGCCGGTGAGATTTGAACCGCTGAACTGCTGATCTAGCAGTAGCCTGCAGTGCTGCATTTAACCACTGCGCCACCTTGGCTCTGCCACCAGGCAGACGCCTGGTGTGTTTTGCAAATTACCAGTCGGCCTTGCGGTCCTCGGCCTTAAGGCCCTCCAAAATCTCAGAAGGAATCAATGCCGGGAAGGCCAATGCTGCTACTTGGGGGGGTCCACAGTAGGAAACTGAAGGAGCTCATCCAGTTCAGGCGTGGAAGCGTAAAGCTTCCTGTCCCCAATACTAGGAGGGGGAACAGCCGGGGACAGGAATGGTATCCTGCTCCTGCACTTGCTCTGCGAAAAAACAGTCAGTGGAATCAAGTACCATGGCCGTGCTAGCTTGAGTGGTGGCACCACCCATCTTGGTAGTTGCCTTAGCCTTGTACAAAAGTGATTTGAATAAGGCAGGCTGGAAAAAGCTGGTGTATCTTGCACTGGGCCATCGTCATCCGACAATTCTAGGGCAGGAACTTCTTCCTCCTCACCCAGGATAGAACCTTTGCTGTAGGCCGAAGGTGGAGCCAAAGGAGGATCAGCCTGAGAAATGGAAAGGTCTCTGGCAATGTTAAGAGAAAGGGGGTGCTGGGCTCTGCGCTGCAATTCCACATTTACCCTCTGAGAGATGGCTGCAGAAATCATATTATGCAGTTCTGGGGGCAGATCAAATTCGAGCCCATCCCTGGCCCTGAGGCCTGCTGCCGTGGGTGTAAACGTGTCCGCGGGTGCTGAGAATGGAGGTGTTTGGCACGTGGTCGGGCCTCTGATAGGTAAGTCAGGGGTAGACAGGAGCCCCAAATCCCCTTGGTCCGCACCCCTCCCCAGTGGTGTGGGGAGATTGGGGGACCAGCCCTGGATTCCCGCTGGAGGAATCGAGGGGAGAGGAGAGTGGCGCTCGGCCACTAAGGTAGGAGGTGATCTGGTGGTAGGCCCAGGAGCTAAGGCCGAAGATTTGGCCTCCTTCTTGCACCTGGCAGAGCTATCCAGGGCTGCAGAGGACAAGCACAGTTTTTGCTTAGAGGCCCTAGTGGTGGTCCTACCCACCCTAGTGCTGGGCCCAGTGACCTCAGAGTGCAGTGGAAGGGAGCCGTGAGATCCCTCGCTGCCTCCAGATGCTGACTGATCGGCCATAATAATAATAATCATGGGAGGGAATGGGAGTGATTTGCAAAGGCTCAAGAACAATTGAAACCAGGGTAAACCTCTGCAAATTGGCAAGCTGACGGTGGTAAGCGATGGCGGCTAACCGACCTCTATAGCAAGATGACTCACTCCGTCCTGAATGCAAGTGAGCATACAAGGCAAGCTCCACCCCCTCTTGCCTTGTTTCGGCGCAAAAGTGCCAACGGCTAAATTGGGCGGCATCAGGGTCCACGTCGGTGCGAAATTCAAAGTTGCCTTCAAAATGGCTGCCGTCTTTCCCCGCCCAGAGGGGGGGAGGGGGACGGAACGCCCGGCTCCCAATGGCACGGTTAACTCACCCAAGCCGCGGCAATGGTTTCAAGTGCCAAGAAACAATGTTCCCTGGCAAAGGATTGTGTCCGCTTCCGCTAGAGGCAGGACCACACTGCCACCCCAGGGTAAGCAGAGGAAACGGAATGCGGTAACAGCAGGTTGCCGGGCCCCACCCTGACACGAGAGCAGCGAACCGATTTTCACCACGGCCACTGATCAGGACAGAAAGCAGCGAACCGACTCTACTGATTCTACTTTCCAAATCTTCAGCCCATACAAACTTTTGGCGACTTTCCTGCGGCCGCTAGAGTCGCAAGAAAAACACGATCTTATTATCAGGCAACACGAACACCACAAACCTTAGTCAAACGAATCAAAGGCAGAAATCCAAGTCAAATGAGCTAATTTGTCTATTATCCTAGAGGAGAGAAAAAATTTGCATCTCTTTAAGGCTGGACTGAGTTAAAAAACTGAACTATCCCATTCAGAGGAGGCGTGGTCAACAATTATGTAACTCTAGGCTAATGGACAAAGTTAACCCATGCTTGGATTCCCGAAGCAGCGCACAGGAGAAGGGTCCCACATACTGACTCCCCCATCCCTATTGCTGGCCACCTTAATTAAAACCATTATTGGGCCAAGAAGAGAAAGCTGTGGACACCTTGCATCCCTCTATCCTCTCCAGGGCACAAAAGAGGGTAGTGCCCAGGCTGGCACATGCGCAACGAGAGGCTGGGCCCATCACAGAATATGAAACAACCTCCCGACATTATCCCTGCCCCCATGTCTGCCCTTCCAGGCAGGGACCTTCTGTACCAAATAACAGAGAGAAGACGTTTGGTATGCGGGGGATGAAAACCCGCCTTAGCAGCCAGAAGCAGGACGGAGAGTGCAGAGTGTCTTTGGGACATCTTATCACTAGGAGAAAAACTCCCCAGGAGGTGATGGAGGCTGTACCGTACCCAGCTCTCTCAATGAGGAATGAGATCTATGGTTCTGAAGACTGAATTTTGTCCCCGGGAGCCCCCATTACCTTCCCCACCCCCACCTTTCAGCTTTGCCCAGAGATGGGAAATGTGTGCATTAGGTCAAGAGGTGGCACTTTGGGGAATTTTGAAGGAGGGAGGGGTGGAAAGTGGGGCTGCAGCAGCTGCCACCACTCTGACTTCTCCTTCCTGCCAACCAATTTGTTCTTTTCTTGCACTCTGTCCTATATAGAATCTGCCGTGGGCGCGCGATGTGCTGCTAGGCAGCAGTTTCCCCTGGCAGCAGCTGAGGCACATGCCAGCACAGGGTCTCTTCTGTGAGAGGAACAAGACCAACTTCTTCAACGTAAGTGGACTGCGTAGGCTACAGACAGGGTGCTTTCTCTGGCTTTCCCCAGTTGCTTGGTTTTTTTGCAGGTAGGCCAGGACCCAGCAAGACCGCTCCATCCTGGACAGTTACCTCCTTGCCCCACGCGCAGCTCTGGAGCTGCTCCTTTCCTGTTGGGCAACAAGAGGGAGAGCCTTGAGCAGTTTTGTCTGGCCTGTGACTTGACTGAGCAGAGCAGTACCTGTGTTTATGTCTCCCAGAACAAGGCATTTCATACTTCCCTACTACAAATGAACTAATGGCAGGAATTTGGAAGTATTTCAGCCCCTTCTATGGAGAGCAAAGAAAAATATTTTGTTTTATGAGGGTGCTCTCCAAGTCATGGCCTTGAGAGCAGTTGATCTGAATTGGCTGGCACAGAAGTCCAGTTCCTAAAATGCCATTGTGGGAGGAGAGTTGCTACTTTGTGGCACAGGAGGTTTCTGTCCAGTTACACAGACCAGCGGGAGGCAGGAGCTGCGTTGCCACTTCTACCCTTTGGGACTCTTTAGGGTTCATGCCCTCTCATGGACCTTTGCCCTTTAGATGAGTATAGACAGCGTGTTAGTATAGACAGGGCAACTTTTCAGTCGCATGGAAGGTGAGCTGCAGATGGGTCCGGAAAATGCCAAAAACTAGGAAGCTTTCTTGCTTCTCAATTGGTCCTGGTTACAAAATGTGAGAATGGAGCATAAGGAAAATGATATTTTCCAGGAAACATAATGTATGGAAATGTGTAATTGTATGAACACTGGAAAGCCACACAGGAGCCTTCTCTGCACTCTTTCCAGAGTCTCGACATCTTTTTAAAATCATGGAGCCAGGTACCACCTATACTACCAGTAGTTCCCAAATCGTAACCACATGACCATATGGGGATACTGTCACAGTTGTAAGTTTGATGAGCAGTGCTAACAACTTCTGAAAGGAAGTTGTTCCACTGATTGATTGTTCTCACTCAATTGAACTGCAAAAGAAAGAGCTCTGGAGGGCTTTTGATAGCTTTACTCCAGCAGTTGGACTTCCCCTTTCTAAAGGCTGAGCTGGAGCCCCCTAGTCAGTTCAGCCTGGGAGAGGCAGAAGTAGCAGGCTGAAGTATAGCAGAGTCTTCTCTGCCTATCTAATGCTGTCTGGAGGTTATTCTGGGGTCCCCTCCTGGAGGCCCTCAGGCAGTGGAGTGGAGCGCTGTCTATGAGGAACAGGAGGCAAGGGGCAGCAGAAGTGGGAAGGGAAAACCATAGGGTCCAAGAACCCAGAGTCTCGCATCCAGCCAGCTTCCCCCCCCCCCCCCCCCCCCCCCCCCCCCCCCCCCCATTCCCCCCCCCCAGGTCATCCCGCCGCGCCAAGAAGCTTTGGGGCCTAAGGAGCCTGCCAGCTCGCTCCTCTTGAAGCGCCTCTTCCCTGCCTTAATGTGCTCTTGGATCGGCGAGATGAGGGGCAGCTTCTCCCATCGATTCCCGTCCGCGGCGCTTATGCGCTATGGGGTCTCTGGGCTCGTTTTGGGGCGGCTGCAGAAACTGGTACCGAGGGCGGCCCGACTGCAGCTGTTCCTGGGTCGTCCGGCGCGGGCTGGGTCGGCATCAGTCAAGTGAGGCTCTACATACTGGCCTCCTGCCTTCCTCCCGAGGAGGAGCTCGAAGGGCAGCGTGAAAAGGCCGCGGGTGCGAAGCCGGTTGTGCCGCCGAGGCCGCCGCTTTCGCAGCCTCGTAGCGGCCGCGCCGAACAGGTGCCGCGGGGGTGGGAGGCGCACCGGGGGCTTCGGGAAGGCGCCGTCTCCCCGGGGCGCTCCAGGCGAAGCGGGAGGACGCGGCGGCGTTACAGCTGCGGGCAGACGGAGCGCAGAGCCGCTCTCCTTCGGCTCCCGCGGGGGCGGCGCAGCGGGTCGCGGCGGCTTTGCTGGGGAGGTAGGCGGCGCGCAGGACAGGCCTGGACGGGCCGGTACCGGGGAGCTTAGTTCGCGGGGCCGAGGCGGGCGCGGAAAGAGGCGGCCACAGTCCGGCAAAGGGTGTCGCGGGGCGAGGCCGCGGCGGCTTCGTCCTCCCCCCGCGGCCTCGGAGCCACGCACGGGCGCCGTCCGGAAACGGCCGCAGTAGTGGCGGCGGAGGCGGTGCCACAACAGCCCCTCACCCGTGTGCGCGCCTCGCCTGGCCGCTCTTCGCGGGGCGCCCTTCGCCTCCGTCCGAAATGGTGAGCGGCCGGGAGGGGAGGGGGCTTCGCGGCCGCTCCCTGAGAGGGCGGCGGCGGCGGCGGCAACTGAAGGGCCAGTAGGCCGGTCTCACCCCCGCCGCGCTCGCTTCCTTCCTGGGCTGCTCCGCTTCGAATTCCGAGCGGCGGCCCTCCCAAGCGCTCTTTGCGGCCGCTTCTCGGCGAGCCCCACTCGGGCATCCCCGAGCCTTTTTCACGTACAAGCCGGTTTTCAGTGCCCGGAAGTAGATTGGCCCGCAGGACCAAGGGGCCCGGGAGTCGAGAGAGGGCTGGGGGGGGGGGCTCCAGGTGACCGAGCCCTTTCAATGATTGGAGCCCCTGGAGTGCAGCGTCCAGTCGTGTGAACAATCTTCTGGCCCTTAAGAGACCCTCAAAGGCAACCGGGGCCCTTCCAAAGCATCCTGAGAACCTCTGAAGGACGACAGGTCTCCTTTGGATCCTCAGCTGCCATTTCCCTTTCTGGATGCAGGACAGGTCCCTCCATTACTTCCCCTGAATTAGCTTTAAGCAGGCCTGGCCCTGGTCTTCCCCGGAATTGTTACCAGCTGCTTAGCTGACATTTGCGATAGTGGCTTACCTGTTTCTTCCACAAATAACCACAGTTAGCTAGGACGCAAATAATCAGAGTTCTCTCCCTTTATCTCTTTAAGCTTGAATAGCTGAGTTCAAATCAGACTTTCTGCAAGCACACATGCCTTGTGCTGGGTAAGGCGATTAGCAGTGACCATGTTTTCTCAGTGGCCACCTGAGCCGCAGCTAGAGACTAGATGGGAAAGCCAAGGGGCAGGATCCTCTGCCTGCCAGAGGCAAAGGAGGAAGTGCATGCCCCATTAGTGACTGTCTCCTCTTGCTTTCTGTGCAGGGAATATGGCGCATCCCTGTGGATGAAATTGACCGTCCTGGTAGCTTTGCCTCTCATATGAACCGCTCCATTGTTCTGCTGCTGAACGTGCTGTCCCAGCTCAAAGATTACCCCACTTTGCTGAAAATCTCCTCTATGCTGCAGAGGACCCCTGACCAGGGAAAGTGAGTGCCCTGAAGAGGGGAACTTCCCAGGCTTTGTTGATGGGGGAGGGGGAGGTTTCTCCCTGTGCAAATGGCCTCCCCAGTTCCAGAGCTATCCCCACAGGAAGGGAAGGGAAGTGCTTCTTGGTAGCATTTACAAAACCAAGGATGGCTTTCCTTGTGTCACCTGTTCCTTCCTGAACTGGGAGTCGAGGTTTGTGGCTGGGAACCCCAAAGAAGCAAAAACAAACAAACCCGGAGATCAGAGCCTAGTACACCCAAGGGCTTCTGTGCTTCACCCCAGTTATCTTGTTTCTCCCTCTGATTAAGGAGTTGCCCATATAATACATATAATACATATACACATATACACATATACATACACACACACACACACACACACACACACACACACACACACACACACATAAAACTCCTTAATCGGGGAGAAATAAGATAGTTATTTTTTCATTTTATAACATAATCACATGTATACTATTACATAGCTAACATTGTATTGTATTATTAAATGTTTACATCAATTCGTCTTACCATCAACTTCCAAAAACAATTATTAGCTCTTCTGCTCCATACACCATATTTGTGCTTTATCATCACTTTCTTCTCCCTCTCTCTTCCCCCTCCCTACCTCCTTTCTTACCTCTGACATCCTTTTCTTCTCCTTCCTCTCTCCTCCTCTCTCCCCTTTCCACTCCTCCTTTCTCTCCTCTCCCCCCCACTGCCCTCCTATCCCTCTCTTCTTCCCTCTCTCTCCTCTATTTCCCACTCTTCATCTGATTTACTTGAT